CAATTCAGCCTTTGTTCACCTCCAAGTTTCAATGGGGTCTATATGAGAAAATGTCTCGGAAGATGTCTAATTGTGATATCCGAGAGTTTAGCAAATTTGTGAATCAGTGCCGAAAAGTAGAAGAAGTTTATAATGTGACTAAGAACAATAAGCCTTCTGAGGCCCAAGCATCTAATGCAAGTAGAGCAACTGGCTCAAATTATTGGAAAAACAAGATGCATATACTTTTCGGTAGCCCGGAACAAAAGAACTCCATAGTTAAGCGTGCTTGACTTGGGACAATTCTGGGATAGGTGACCTCCTGGGAAATTTTCTCGGGAAGTGTGCAAATGAGGACAAAGCATGCTGAAAAGTCTCGTGTTAGTGTGTGGGGACAGTCGTTGATCCTTGCAAGTTGCCAGGCGTTACAAGTGGTATCAGAGCAGGGCCTCTCTTCCAGTACGGTATGGTTCGAGGACGAACCAGGCGGAAGCTGGTGGGTATGTAACATCCTGAGCGCTGACGAGGGCGAGGAGTGATCGCCGGTGCGAAAGGGCATGGACAAGGAGCGGCTCCTAACAGGCTTCCAGCGAGGGGGGTACATGAATGAATCGAATCAACACCCGAAAGAGAGAGATTCCAGAGACTGTGCTGGTATGTGACGGTACAGTTGGGAATAGCTTATAAGAATTAATCGGTACTACCTATACTAACAAGATGCATCTACTTTTCGGTAGCCTGGAACATAAGAACTCCATAGTTAAGCGTGCTTGACTTGGGACAATTCTGGGATAAATGACCTCCTGGAAAGTTTTCCCGGGAAGTGTGCAAGTGAGGACAAAACACGCTGAAAAGTCTCGTGTTAGTGTGTGGGGACAGTCGTTGATCCTTACAAGTTGTCAGGTGTTACAATATGGATTTATCATTTGTCATATCATATGATATGACATTAAATTATGTCATGTCACTTTAAAATAATATTATTTTTTGAATTCGGGGAATTAATAAATGATATTTTAATAAATAAATAAACAAAAATACTAAAAAGGAGTAGTGACACAATCATACTTTTGTTTTAGGGAAAAATGTTTATCCTTTTAAATGACACAACTTATATCATTTCACTCTCACAAAGAGGTGGGACCCACACCTTTATTTTTTTTGTCAACTCTCTCTCCTCCTTTATCTATCTCTTTCTCTCGCTTAAAATAACACAACTTTACATTCTTTAAAATGACACACACTTTACCCTTTGTTTTAATATTAAATCTAGGGATGTGCAAAAAAATCCAAATGAACCAAACCAAATAGGTAACCAAACCAAACTGATTCATAAAAACCGGTTTTTTAAAATGGTTTTAAAAACTAAACTGTTTCTTAATTTTTGGATATGGATTGGATCTTATCTTTTAAAACTGGTTCGGTTATCATAATTAACCAAACAACTTTTAGAATAAGGGAAACGCCGCTGCATCAGCTTAAAGCCTCAAACCAAACCACTTTTAGAACAAGGGAAACGCCGCTGCATCAGCCTAAAGCCTCAAAGCATAGCACAATCTACTCTGTGTTAGGAGTAATATTAGCTCTCGTGCAAGTTGTATGATCGTCTACAAACCTTTTAAGCTCTTACGACTTTGTATTGATTTATTAGTTGTCCCATCTACAAACACATACGTTCTTTTGGATTAAATATAATTTAACGGACGCAAGCATAGTCTAATTTTAATTAGAAACACCAAAAAAGAACATTCTTTCTTTGCCCCTGCATAGTTACCAAAAAGTTTTAGTCATGCTATGAATGGATAATAGTATTAACAGGTTTAATACTAAGCAAAATTAAATCTTATGTATATTTCTGTTCAATTTTTTTTCCTATCAAACAAATGTGAAGGATCGTGTATCATTACTCCATGAAAAATATTTATTTATTTATTTTAGAAATTACTCCATGAAAACTATTATGCAATACATATTATTATAATTAGATCAACTGTTTTTACGAGCAATTGTATTTAGATACAAATAATAAATAGCACAACTCATCAAAAATTGGTTTAAAATTTGTTATAAAACCGGTTTTAACTTGATAACGGTTTATGATTTAAAACCGGTTTTTAATCAAAACCGGTTATAAATCATAAACCGGTTTTGGAACCGGTTTCAAACCAGTTTGAAAAAATTAAAACCGGTTTTTAAAATAAAAAACTGGTTCGGTTTGAAAACCAAACCATTTAAAACCGGTTCGGTTTAGTTTTTATCAAAAACCAAACCGAACCGCTCCATGCATATCCTTAATTAAATCCGTCAACTAATGAATTTGGTCCTTAATTATTGTAAAACTTTTAACAAATAGCATAACCTACGTTGTCATGATAAAGAACTGAAACTATGTTGGCTTTTACCACTTGCTAATTCATAAAAGAGTTTTAAAATTCCTAAGTTAAGGATGAAAGTGGATAGAATGATAAAAATTGGAGTTACTGGATCAATTATCGTCAAATTGACTTTTGTTTGTGAAATTAGATTAATTTTAGTACTCTTTGGTATGTTTTTTATGCATAAATCAAGCTTCTTTCGGACAGCCCAACGCCTAATCGCTCACACTTTACGCCTCGATGCCTTGCAAGCCAAAACACGGCCTTTTACGGGTAACTTGTGCACACAAAAATTTGATCCCCCGAGCTCTCAAGAACGCAGTGCCTGAGTGATATGTTCATACAAAAGGGAGAATGAGAAATCTAGGGTGGAGATTTTATAGAGTTTTTTTAAAACAAAACAAAAAATCTAGCACTCTTATTTTTTTCTTTATGATTTATTATTTTTCTTATGTTGGGGTTAGATAAAACCTTCTTAAATCTTGATATACTTTGAATCATATTTTTTAATTTTAATCTAATTTGTTCTTTTTGCGCTTAATGTTTTCATGAATTGGCCTTTTATTAATAGATTTTAAAATTATATATGATAATAAGAATGTTAGTATATGAAAAGGACTTGAATAATTCACCGTATGATGATAGACATATAAAATATGCAATATTGACTTATACAAAAATATATATATATATATATATATAGGGTTTATTTTTTTGCAGTTACTGCAGATAAGTTATCTGCAGTAAGCCAATACGACGTCGTTTTGGAGCGGAAATCATGGTGTTTTCGTAATTTTAATTTATTTCAGGGTTATAAGAGTCTTTATATTTATAATTTTTTAAGATTTCAATACCAAAATGACGTCGTTTTGAGAATAAATGCAGATAACTTATCTGCATTAACTGCAGAAATATTTTTCCCATATATATATATATATATATATATATATATATATATATATATATATGCAATATTGATCTAATCATACTACTTTATCCCCTTTTGAATTTTAACTAAATTAGATGAAGGTTAAACATATATCTTAAATTTTCAAAAAATAAAAATAAAAAACATTGACAAAATATCTGAAGGAAAATCGCATATTTATTTCCCTATTTAGTTTAAAAATTAATTCCAACAATATCATCGTACACTCATCCTTGCCTTAAGATTATACTAATTAATAGCTAGCAAAGCTTCTTGTACACTATCCACTCTAACGTGTGCAACTTCTATTACATAAGCATGCTTCTTCCAATTCACCTACAATTATGCATGAATTATTAGTTAGACTAAAAAATTACAGTTTAAAACTTGCCTTAAAAAATCCTTGAAGTTTTCACTATCAACAACAATCATGAAAGCACATGATTTTTCACCAATCAAACGAGCCCCAAACAATACTTCTGAATAATTAGTTTAACATGTAAGCCTTGTAATCATACCTGGCTCAAATCTAGATTAGTTGGCACCTATTAGTCATTGAATGCAGCCTTATATTTATATATTTATAAAAAAAAAACCTATTTATAAATTCGTGATCTTTCAATCACGAAAGAGTATCCTCAACAAAATCTTCTATCAGAAGTCAATTAGGCCTCAACTCAACTATTTGAAAGTAATTTTTAACGAAGAAATTTTTTAAAAAGTGGCGTTAAAAGATAGGTAGTGACATTTAAAACGTAATCATGTAAGGAGTATCTTTTTCCAATGAAATATCAGTAACATGCTAAACATAATCAGAAAAGCTGATCATACTTTTAAGAATAACGTGACAAACTATTGAAAATGACAGTTGTCCTTATAGCTACTTTACATAGCCATTGCTTAAAACTGATCATAGCACTCACAAAATTGATTACCTTTTAAGTTATTTAGGCAACTAGCACCACTAACTCGTTCATCTATTCTTTTGTATGACAATGGTGTAACTCCTCTTTAGAAGTAGAAGAAGCTTAAGATTAAGAATAGTGGTATTCTTAAAAGGATTATATTTATCTCATTTTGCATGAGATAACTAAAGATGGATGAGTCTCATTTCTTTTTTTTTCTCTCCTCTTACTTATGGATCCCACTTACAATCTTATTTCTATAATATAAGATAATTATTTTCTTACAACATAAGAAAATTATTTCCCTTTCTTAAAATACACAGTATAGATCAAATGTTTAGGAACTGGTCCCATTAGTGAATGAGAATGGGTACTTCTTAGCTTTAGTGACAACCCTTTTTTCCAACTTGTGAAAAGGAATCTATATCCAAGAAGTCCACATACAAATTAATGGAATACCCGTGAGTGAAAGCACATTGAAGGTAGTGCTGAGGGTCCACCAGCAGTGGCGGTATCTAGAGATATTGCACAAGTTCCTCAAACTTGCAGAGTCTATTTTGGGTAGTAAAGTTGGGGGTGGCAACAAAATTATATCGATAACAAATAGAATGAAGGAAAGAAATGGGTACCATAATGCACAGAACAATTATAAATGTATCAAAACCAGATTGAGAAAGAATAATAATAAAGTTGCAAGTGTAGTGAATCCCTCATCTTGCTTTTCCTACTAACAAATCTTCAGTGCTATCTTATTTGTTAAATCTTCTAACCATAAGTTAATCAGAACACCGAAAAACCCAACTCGGAGAACAATTAAAGCATTATCCTTGAGCACATAAATACATTATCCTCTGCACATCCCAGAATAAAACCAAATTAAATAATAGATAGAGCCAGCCAAAATAAAATCATCCATAGTTCTCCCATACCTGAAAAGCACTAAAATAAAGTCTTTTTACTAAACCACCTAGACTCCTATTGTTCCCGTGCCATTTAAGACACCAAACTGTAACACCAACTTACACAAAAGTCAATGAAAGAGATTGTCCTACAATTTTCTTTCACATGAATCCCATCTGGTCCAAATTACACTGACCAGAGTCTCAAATAATTACCTTAGCATGTACCTAGGACATGTTGATGAAACTTAAAGCAGTTACAAGGATAGTACAAAAGCTAGGAGCTTGAGTGTTTTACTGCAAGCACATGAATGCAATGACCATGTCATCAACTAGCTCTCCAACTACATATACAGATGCCATGCATAAGGTGGCTAGTTCTCGTGAAACTAAGTCACTTCAAACCAAAGAAAATGCCCCAGAATCCGTGCAAGTTCCCCACCCCAAACCACCCTACTTCAATCACAAGATTTTGCTTTCTCCTTGACATTAACCAAACAAAGCATGCATAGACCATCATCCTTGTCACAAACAACACAAAAGAGATGGCTGAATTTCCTCCTGTAGAAATAGGCGCCAGAGGCACAGTTCGGTCCCTTTTAATGCAAGAAATTGAGTACTATAGCCAGCTTGAATTCAATTCCCAAAACAACTCACAGAAGAACAAGTCCCAAGCTATCAACATGGGTTCCTCAGTTAGCACTGATTCCAGACCCACAATTGTATCCAGAGAAGAAAGTAAAAAGAAAAAGCGAGCAAGTAGCAAGCTACTACCAAGCATGTGTTCTATGGTGGATATATCAGACAACTGTAAGCCACATGGGACCTCGGCTTTCAGCTACAAAAACCTGAAGTCTGACATAAAATTTTAGCTTTAAATAATTCTCTCAGAGAGCTTTGAGAAACCCAATTTCTTGAGAGAATTTGTTATTGGGGTTGCCCAAGCTTTATCTGCATTACCACATTTAATGTCCACAACTTCAACAATGTTGGATTTTTTCTTTTTATCATTTTTCTTCCTAATTGGACTTGCGTCCAATGAAAAATTATCAGAACCAAGCATAGGTATTTGATGTGAATGTTTGCCATTAAATTTTGTTTTGGGACCAATCACAGGGCTTCTATGGTTTATGATATTACTTCCTCTGCTGCTGCTGGCTTCATCTAATGATTTTCTTGGTTGTAGTTGCTTTGGAGTAGTACTACCACAGGCAACTGAAATTCGAGGTTTACTTGTTGAAGATTCCTGCTGGTGTGGAGCAGAAGAGATCTGATCCAATTCCCTTGTTATCAACGAGCTGATTGTTCCGGTGGTTCCTACCGTGACGGCTCCTTCATCACCCTTGGAACCTTCCATGCTCCTCTTAGCTCCAGCCAAAGGGGCAAATGATCAAAGTTTTTGAGATGGATATTGCCAGCAGAGTCACAGAATGATCTGTTATACATGTAAATGGTGTATTCAAGTCACAGTAAGTAGTCAGTAAGTAGCTCTATCTTTCATATAACAATCCAGGATTGAAAGTGAATAGCTTATAGTAAATATACAAGTGATAAGCATCATATCATACAGCAAGCAATAGAGGTTGAAAGGGATTTAGGGAGTCACTAGGTTCACATTCTAAAAGCATTAAATCAATGATAGCAACAGAACATTTATTCTAAAATTCTTCACTCACGATGCCCCCTTGGCTACAAGAAAAATTCTAGTGAAACAAATCACAAAACAAGCAAACCCATTTTCCAGAAACGCCAAAATTGAATGAAGAAAGCAAATAAAGCATGATTTATTCGGGGGATAAACATGAATTTCAATTGGTTTGTTTGTGAAAATGCACATTGCCACAATACGTTATGTTGTCTCTCAGCCACGAGACAAAAGTCATACATAAAAATTTCAGTCGGAGAATGCCAACTACAATCATCTTAAACGCAGCTGAATCCATGGGAAAAATGAAATAATAATAATAATAATAATAATTTCAGTAAAAAGGAATGAAAGGAAAAGTAACAAACCCAAAAAACTACCAGTCCAAAATGGTTAGGATGATGCACAATCAAACCTACAAAAAACAATCCAACCCTCGTTAGCAGAATCCAGAGAAGGGTCAAATCCACTGTTGACCAACTTCATCAAAGGACTTCAAAATCAAACACAAACAAGGCATCAAATTTGACAATCTGAAGGAGTATATACAAACAGAAAACCATACATTGTTTCAATATATGGAAAAAAAAAAAAAAAAAATTCTAACTTAGTCAAATTGCTTCATTTTTTATAGAGTGGTTTGATCCTAACAACACATACGCTGTTTATGCAGAATACAATTCATGAAAGATCAAAGGTAGTAGAAATTAAACTAGCTATCATACTCACAAGCATTGCAGTGCAGTTCTTAGTTCTTACACAGTTCCCCACGTTTCAAAATCGCAGATTTGAAACCTACCTAGTACCTACCTAACTTTTTCTCCTATAAATAAATAATAATAATCTTTTTGCATATTAGAATTACAGATAACGAAACTGTGGTCTGAAATAACGGTATTAATATTGGGGTTAGATTACACTGAATTAATTTTCTCATTTTACATTGGAAAAAAAATTTCATGCTTCACTTATAATATATGAGTGGGTCCCATCTTGACTTTTTGTCTTCTCATCTTTTTGTAGACCTCACTCATATATTATGAGTGTAGCATGAGAAAAAAATTTCATGTAAAATGAGAAAATTAATTCCCTTGATTTTATCATGTTACGTTATAATTGAATTATCATGTTGTGACTCAATCAGTGATGGCCTCCACATTTATTAAAAAAAAAATTTTTGAGCGCAAATCGAAGGATCACGATATGAGAACTGAATTCTCATGCAACATGAGAAAATATTTTTCCATTAATATTTACACAGTTTAAGAATAATAAATTTTACATTCAATTTTTTTATTTTGGTAGCATTTTACATTCAATTTTACTTATAGTAAATTTTACATTCAATTTTGATAATTAATTTTTATGAATATAATTTATTATAAATTAATAATTAAATAATAAGAAATTAAGAATGTCTCACTCCATTATAATTATTTAACATAAAAATCAATAATTAAAATTGAGTGTAAAAAATATTATTCTTAATAAATTAATCTATATATATATATATATATATATATATATATATATATATTTGATTTCTCCATATATATATATATAGAGAGAGAGGTAGGATCCTTTGACACCAATGTCAAATTTAAAATTTGACACCTCATATGAGAGCCATTAGATCAAAAAAGATCAATGGTGTCACATGCCTACAAATCAGAGTCGTCGATCTTTTTTGATCTAATGGCTCTAAGGTGAGGTGTCAAATTTCAAATTTGACATTGGTGTCAAAGGATCTTACCTCATATATATATATATATATATATATATATAAAGAGAGAGAGATAAAATTATATTTAAAGTTGTTGTATATGCAGCAATGACATGTGTATGGTTATGATTTTTCACATTTAATGCTTGCACATTTTGTATGATTACGACTTCCCATATTAAATGCTTTAATATATATATATATACGGAAAATTTGTCATTGCTGCACGTGAAACGACTACAGAAAAATCGAACCTATATATATATATATATAGGTAAAATCATTTCTGCAGCCGCTTTACGTACCGCAATGACAGATGTATCGTTATGATTCCCCACATTTAATGCTTTCATTCTTTGTATGGTTATGATCATTGTTGTTAAAATCTCGATTTATCACTAGGATTTTATGTTTTTACGATATTTTTTCATCAAAACGATTTTACGTTTATACGATATTTTTTCATCAAAACGATTTTACTAATATTCCAAACGCTTTTACGATTTTTTTGCATTACAATTTTACGTTTTACGATTGTTTAATCCCCTTCCGATTTTACTTAAGATCTCGATTTTGATAACATTGGATATGATTTCCCGCATTTAATGTTTTCAAGTATATACATGGCAATTATTTGATTGCTGCACGTACAACAACTGCAGAAATTTAAACCCCATATATATATATATATATGGGCTTATCATTTCTCAAGCTGCCGGAGATAATTTTATCTCCGACTACTAAATCATAACCGTACAAAGATGGATCAATGGTGATAAAGGAAGAGAGAGAAAAAGAGAATCATTATCATTCAAAGGTGAATCAATTAATATAAGAAAATAAATAAATAAAACGACGTAGTTTTGGGGTGGCCGAAGATAACTTTATCTCCGGCAGCTTGAGAAATGTTTTTTCCATATATATATATATATAGAGCCTATCGTTTCTCAAGTTGCTTGAGATAATTTTATCTCCGGCTACTATATCATAACCGTACAAAGATGGATCAATGGTGGTAAAGAAAGAGAGAGAAAAAGGGAATCATAACCATTCAAAGGTGAATCAATTAATATAAGGAAATAAATAAATAAAACGACGTAGTTTTGAGGTAGCCGGAGATAAACTTATCTCAAGCTGTTTGAGAAATATTTTTTCCATATAGGGCTTATCATTTCTCAAGCTGCCGGAGATAATTTTATCTCCGGCTACTAAATCATAACCGTACAAAGATGGATCAATAGTGATAAAGGAAGAGAGAGAAAAATAGAATCATAATCATTCAAAGGTGAATCAATTAATATAAGAAAATAAATAAATAAAACGACGTAGTTTTGGGGTGGTCAGAGATAAACTTATCTCAAGTTGCCGGAGAAATGTTTTTCTCATATAGGGCTTATCGTTTCTCAAGCTGCTTGAGATAATTTTATCTCCGGCTACTAAATCATAATCGTACAAATATGGATCAATGGTGATAAAGGAAGAGAGAGAAAAAGGGAATCATACCATTCAAATGTGAATCAATTAATATAAGGAAATAAATAAATAAAACGACGTAGTTTTGAGGTGGCCGGAGACAAACTTATCTCAAGCTGCTTGAGAAATGTTTTTCCCATGTATGTATATATATATATATATATATATATATATATATATATATATATTTAAGTATTTCTCCGGTCACCTGAAATAAAGTTATCTCCAATAAGCTCAAAACGACGTCGTTTTGGGTTATAAGATTAAAAAATTATAACAATAAAGACTAATATAACCTTGTAATATATTATAACTTTACATAATATTTTGAAACTAATTTACAGATCTACTACACTTAGTTTCGCTCAAAATAGACATGAGCACTCTGGTCCATTTTGGGCGAGACCCCATATAAGAACTCGCCTAAATAATGAGAGAAAATGAGAGAGCTGGAGCTAATGTCACTCATGTCTAGGTCATTTTATCTTTAGGCTGCAATACAATAGACAAAGAAAATCGCAAAAGCCACCTTGTTTTTTTTTTTTTTAAAATATTACAAGATTCAAATTTGCAATCTAATACACACTACACACACCCAACACCACTAGGCTAATCCTAGTGGTGCAAAAGCCACCTTGTTTAGTTAGCTAGAAAGTTATATTGCCTTCTTGATATAGATGTCTAGGTCCTTGTCACGCCTCTCTATCTCTCTCTCTATGTAAGTGTGTGTGCGCGCACTTGCGTGCGTGTGTGATATTTGAGAGTTGCAATTTGAAATAAGGATAAATAAATTTAAACCCAAAATGATATTAATCGAATTTTTTAGAATCTTGAACATCAATGAATATCTATAAAAAAAATATTTTTTATTTACAAGTGGGTGTGTGTGATATGGTTTTTCAAAGTTGCAATTTGTAAAAAGGATAAAGAAATTTGAACCCAAAATGAGATTATTTGGATTTGTTAAAATTTTAAACATTAGTGGATATCTATAAAAAAATATTTTTTATTTACATCGTAAACATAACAAAATTTAAATTAATACATAATAAAATAAATTTTAAAATTTTGAATTTTTGTTTTCTCTTTTTATTTATATACAATTTTTTATGTTTTTATAACACTTTTTAATATTAATATAAACTGATGTATATATTATAAACAGTAAAGTTTGTAATAAGCATATTTAATAGATTTCAATACAAATGTTATTTAAATATTTATGACAAAATATATGATTTATAGAATAAAATCATTTTTAATTTTTTTATAATTCATTCGTTGAAAATTATTAGTATCTTTTATGGCTTTAATGTTTCTATAATGAATGTAGATAAGTTATTCACATTCACTCTCAAAACAACTTAGTTTTGAGTTGAAAGATTAAAAAATTATAATCAGAAAGACTATTATAATCTTGAAATAAATTATAATTACAAAAATACCTTGATTTTTGCTCCAAAATGACGTCGTTTTGGGCTCAATGTAGATAACTTATCTACATTGACCGTAGAAAAAACTCATCTTTTACACACATAAGTAGACA